TCTTTCGCATGTATTCCCTTTTTATCTTTAAGCCATAAACATAGGTTTTGACCACACCCATTATATTAGACAACAAGAATGGATACCATAGAGTACTACGGGCGTGTGAGGTGCTAATACCTTCCCTTCGCGTAACAGACTCCCTTACCCGATCTCTCGGTCGAAAGACCGTGATTTCTCCCTTTCCAGGTTTTCTCGATGTTTACCTTTCCCTTTCGGCGGGATAAAAGACGTTCGGTGCTGACTTTATTGATGTTTCATTACATCCAGATGATAGGTTCGGCCGGGTTGTTTCAAAGTGAAATAGTGGGGGTTAAAAACATAGTCAAACACACTATGTTGAAAAAAACCTCCACATTCAAGATAAAATATCTTGGACAAATTAACACTCTTTTAGGGATCAAAGTAATGTAAAATAATGGGGGTTATAAACTTAGTCAAACAATCTATGTAGAGAAAGTACTTGATAAGTTCAAACACTTACGTTTCAAGAAAGTAAGTACTCCATTTGATCCTAGTGTCAAAATTCAAAAGAATGATGGAAGAGCTGTGACTCAATTGAAATATGCAAGTGAAATTGGTTCTTTAATGTAATGTAATGGACCTGACATAACATTTGTAGTTAGTAAATGAGTAGATTTACTAACAATTCAAATAGTGAGCATTTGAAGGCCATCACGAGAATTTTGGTTATCTTTTGAAAGCAACATATTTGGCCTTCACTGTGGTAGGTTTTCCACCATACTAAAAGGATATACCGATGCAAGATGGATATCGAGTGTTGTAGATAATAAATCTATAAATGGGTGAATATTTACACTAGATAGGGTGTAATTTCTTGGAAAAGCAAGAAACAAATATGTATTAATCTTTCGACCAGGGAAGCAGAGTTTGTGGCTCTCGTTTCCGTTGGTCAAGAAGATAAATGGTTGAGAGACTTTCAGTTGGAAACTTCATTGACAAAAGACAATGTTTCAAAAGTGTTGATACATTGCGATAGTCAAAACAATTTAGTTAGTGCATTCAACAAAGTGTATAATGGAAAGTCTAGGCACCGAGGCCTTATACATTCTTTCGTGAGAAAATTGATTAAAGATGTAATCATTTTACTCACATATATACGATCGATCTATAATTTGAGAAACTCATTTACTAAGCCACTGGCCAGATACTTAGTAAAGACAAACTCAAGAGGTATGAGGTTGAAACTCCTTGAGTAAGAGTTCCGACAACGGCGACAATCCAATCTTATGTTAACAGAACATCAACCTCAAGATTCAATGGGTAACAACAAGTCGTTGATTTGGATAATTATCAAATATTTCGTGATAATGTTGGCCATAAAAGGAGGGTTGAGTTTTATTTTAAAACTATTTATGAAGTTCATAACCGAGAAAAAGTATCTCATAGAAAAGGATACAACATGAACTTCACCTATGTGAATTTCGATATGGTGCCGTCTCAAAGTGAGAGTTAGAGTTTCTCTCATGAAAAATTCATGAAATAGGATAGCATATGACCATAAATAAGTGCTAAGCGAGATATGTAGAGGAAGAACCTTTAAAGACTGTGTGTCAGGTAATGCCCGTCTAATCATATGGATTAATGGTTTAAAAGTATTGCTACCTAATATTCCGATTAAACTTTGCGTTATCCTCACTAAGATTAAGTTTAAAATCGAAAGATACCTAACTGTATTAACACTCTTTATATCCCATTTTCAGAAATTAGACTTGTCATTATTAAAACAAGTGAGGGATTGTTGGAAATTAATGGACAATTAATTCCCATGGGTATGTTCAAATATGACAAAGTTAAAGAAGATAAAAGTGCCCCATAGACAAAAGTGGAAATTGCCTTCAAATCTGCCTGAAAGAAATTTTGGTCAGTTTTTGCACTAAACATCAACTAGTGGAAGTTGCCTTTAATTTTATCTCGAGCTACTGAAAGTTTGAATTTTGAATTCAAAATACACAACACTTCATAAAGTGGTGCATTGTATTATTATAGGTGAACCATTGCAAACATATGCTAAAAAGATGTTGTTTCATCAAGAGTTGCAAACTTATGAAATAACACATACATGACCTATAAATATATGTAATTCTGAATTCAAAATCATTAACTCAAAATCACAAATCCTCTTCATTTTTCCAGACACTCTTCCTTACATTCAAGTTTTTCACCAATCTTGTGCAGACTCGATTCAAAGACCGAATTATCCTGAGTATTCTTGCGTTCCAACTCTAAAACAATATAGAGAGTGATTGAAATACTTATAAAAAAAGTGATTCCGTTCACGATTTAGCCCCAAACCATTTGACTAAAATTATTTTCTAACATTAACACCCCCTTATAACTTTTCTTTTTTTAATATATGAATTGCCTTAATTTAAAAAAATTTAATTGATAACTTTTAGTCTCAATTATTATTTAATGTTTTGCCGATGTAAAAAATATAACATAATATTTATATTTTCCTATATCATCATTTTAGCAAGTGGGAAAATTAAACCCTATGCATTTCCTATAATGTCTCTCTAAAATCGGAAGTATATTTTCAGTGCGCACATTTTTTTTGAAAAACTTGACTTAAATCGGAAGTATATTTCCAGTTTTAAAACGAAAATATATTTTCGATTCTGATGCTTCCAGTAGCAGAAACACCAGAAAAACCAGGCTTGCAAAAACATATATTTCTCGTTTGTTGGCATCACAAATTATACACATCACAAATGGAATAAAAGACAGACACACACACACACACACACACATAACACACACACACACACACACACACACACACACACACACACACACACACACACACACACACACACACACACACACACACATAACACACACACACACACACACACACACACACACACACACACACACACACACACACACACACACACACACACACACACACACACACACACACACACACACACACACACACACACACACACACACACACACACACACACACACACACACACACACACACACACACACACACACACACACATATATATATATATATATATATATATATATATATATATATATATATATATATATATCCTGTGAATGGTAACCTGCTCAGGATCACCATGAGCCTCTCGTACACCCCTAATCTCATCCGCAAACACCCTAGCCAAATAGCTATATCTGACGTGGCAACCGCGAGTCTTATCAATCTCTCCCAGGCTACTCTCAGGGGTAACTCCCAGTTTCTGAACCAACGAATCCAACGCCTTTTCTTTACTGGTGCTATCATGATCCAAGAAAGTCACTCTGATCGGCAAATGAAGCAGACACGCGACGTCGTAGAGTGTGATCGTCATCTCACCATGTGGTAGATGAAACGACAACGTCTCATGGTGCCACCTCTCAATAAAAGCGTTGATCATACCCCAATTGGCGAAGCTGTATCCACACAGGGACAAATCTTTCAACTCTGTAAGCCGTAAAAGCTTGTCAAACCATGGCTCAACAGGAGGAACAAGTCTACTGATCTTCTACCCATGGCTAATGACCTTGAGCGTACTATGTTCCTGCATAATAAAATTCAAGTCAAAATTCATAATAGAGATAAAAATGCAAAATTCATACCTGTCTATCCCAGATATGTCTAACAACATGGTTGGGATAAAGAGGCATAAGTGATAAATCAGACGGTCCTCCTCCAAAATTCTGAGGGGCCGCAGGTGTAGGTTGAGTCGATGCGGTCTTAGGTGCTGCTTGTGCGGCCTCAGGTTCCATTGGCGTAGCCTCAGGTGCATGGGACGACTGAGGAACCGCCTCAGGTGGCGTCTGGGACTGAGGCTGTGATGATGTATGGGCATCAGGTGTCGCCTGGGTACCAGATGTGGATCTTGCCTCAAATACGCTAGGTGAGGAAGTGCGTCTGCGGGAGGACGGGGGTCTCCTGCTGTGGGAGGACGACGTAGAAGGAGTAGAAGCATGCACACCGGAGGCTGAAGCAGTAGAAAGTGCATCCGGTATGGCTTGTCCAGAGACATGACGAGGCTGGATTGCCTGACTCATTTCTCTCTGCATAGAAGCATGTTGTGCAACCTATCCGAGCCTCAATCGAGATGGTCTCTCACTCATTGCTCTTGTAGAAGTAAGAAAGAAATGTTAACATAAGGTCCAGTGTTCAAAACAAAGCTTAAAACAGAAACCAGAACTATACTTGCGGTTTTGTTTTTACCAAAACCGAAAATTTAATTTCGATTCCTTCTGTGATAACAGAATAATGCTCATTTGGCATCCCAGTCCCCCAAATGAGCTCAAATAAGGGCGTTGATCATCAAATAAACTTTAGAAACACTTTTCTAATGACTCCTAATGATGATAACTAGCTACAATATCACAGTTTGAACCCTAATTCACTAATTTGAGTAGAAATTACAAAACTCAAATTTTCAAAAACAACATACCTGATTGATTGGTGTTGATTTTTCTTGATTGATTGCGTTAGAATGCTTTATTTAACCACTGCTTGATGATTTCTGATGTTTTTTGACAAAATATTTGATTTATGAAATAAGGGTTTGAGAGAGTTTTGTGTTTTGTTTTGAATGAGTTGCTGTATTGGGAGGGGAAGAGGCAGCGCGCCATATAGTTCCTCCAAAAATTGAAAGTATATTTTCGGTTGTAAACCGTAAGTATACTTCGGGTTTGCACCCAACCCTTCCAACGCAATTCATGTATAACGTGATGCGAACTGAAAATATACTTCTGATTTTGAGAGATATTTATGGAATTTCGCATGATGCGCAAGAAAGTCATGGAGTGAATTAAGAAATTGCCAAAATAATAAAGTTTAAAAGGTATTAAATATTTGAATGAATATACTTGCATGGTTACTACGCTATTCAAAACAATAAAACGCAAACTTGAACAGAAACAACTAAAATTTGATTCGAAGATCATTCATTTCATAGGTAGCGTTGTGTGTGGAATTGAATTTGAATAGTGAATTGAGAATGGGAAGAGGAAAGTTCAAGAGCAAACCCACCGGTCGCCGTCAGTTTTCCACCCAGGAAGACCTCCGTAAGCCCCTTCTTTTCTCATCATCCTCCATTTTTTTCTTTCTTTCATCACCTTTATGCTAAATATATTCACTTTTTCTTTGCAAAATTTGTTTGATTAGCTATAAGTTTTTTCTTTTAATGGTTTGTTGTAGCAGTAGTGTTAATAGTGTGGTGGTGTGATAATGTTTTTGATGCCATGATTAAGCTCTATTTAGATAAACAACTTAGTTTGTTTATAAATTAAGCTATTTCTTACAATGTCTTAATCATAGAAAGAATCTATGAAAACTTAATGTTTCTTTTGATTGTTGCAGTTGCTGGAACCACTAGCCGTCCTCGAACTTTTAGACAGGTTTCCTTCTGCCTCCTTTTGCTCCTCTCTACTGAAGCATGCATGTGATCTCTCACACAGTAGATGTTTTTGTTTATATTATCTATAATGACAATTAACTTTTATATGGACATGACAAATTTTAATTTTTTTTTTACATTTTGTATACATTTGTTACTTTATTTTACATGGTCATTCTCTCCAAACATATCAGAAAGAAGCTGAGCATGAAGAGGTACCTGAGGAAGTATCCGGGGATGAATCTGGAGAACAATCTGATGAAGAAACTAGAGTTAGTATCTCACAATCTATGCACTTTTTGGAAAATAATTTCATACTATCTTTATTTGTTTCTGTGATCAATTGATTGTGTCTTGCTGCTACTTAATGTATACAGAAGAAAAAAGGTACTCAAGGGATTATTGAGATTGAAAATCCTAACTTGGTAAAGCCAAAGAACATGAAAGCTAGAGATGTTGATGTGAGTTCAACTTTTCATTTTTGGTCATTTCATAGACATTTTCGTAGGATTTTGGAAGAATAATGTTAGTTTCCGCACGCTTGCAGGTTGAAAAGACAACCGAACTTTCAAGGCGTGAAAGGTTTGCTACTTTTAATTTGCTTCTGTAAAAGGGTTTATACAAATACAATCATTCTCTTAAAGAGGGCCGTCTAGTATCTTCAAATTTTGCCTCCTGTTTGTAGAGAGGAGATAGAGAAGCAGAAAGCTCATGAACGCTATATGAGGCTGCAAGAGCAAGGAAAAACAGATCAATCAAAGAAAGATTTAGGTACTAGTAATGACTTTTGCTATTTCAATCGATTATTTATTTTCTCCCGTATGTTTGATATTACTACATATTGTAATATTTTGATTGATTGGAAAAAAGCCTAAGCTGCATGAGTTAAACCAAAATCAACAAGCTTTGCTGAAAAGTTTTGCTTCAATGATTAATGTTTGATTTCTTTGTTGACATGTTATGTAGAACGATTAGCTCATATACGTCAACAAAGAGCAGAAGCTGCTAAAAAGAGGAATGAAGAGAAAGCTGGTAAGTTCTAAAATACTGCTTGTTCTATTCAGACATCCAAAAGCTTGAAACTGATAATTTAAGTAAATCTATTTCAGCCAAAGAGCAGAAGAAGGCTGAAGTACGCAAGTGAATATCGTGTGGCCTATATTAATAGGCTGAATATATACACTCACAACTCATAAATATTGTATCCATTGATCTTTATAATGGATCTTACAGTGATCCAATTCCATGTTGGTAATTTGTAATGCAATTATTCCAGTTTCATGTGACTTGAGATCTTAATTAAATAAACACCTTTCTTCACATAAAGTCTGGGAACAGTTAAGTGTTTTTTATCCCCTGGACACTACTTTTAGCTCTGCATTTTGTTTGGGATGAACATACAATACTATTCTTCTTTTTGTTCAGCAGTGTCAAAATTCATTCAAATACTAATTCTTTGCCTGAGCAAGCACATTCTTGGTTGATTTGAAGAACAACCAAAACATCGCATTAACATCTATATAATAAATATTCAAAATCCTTTTCTTGTCGAGGTGATTTGGAAGGTAAATTTGGTGTGGCTATAACAAAAATTCTGGGAGCTTGTTGTGATATACAGTCAGTCTCATTAATTGTATGGTTGCACATGGAACTTTCAGGTAGATTTAGGCCTGGGGCTTCCATACTCCTTTAGTTGAATATATTTCACTTATGTTCGAGCTTCTTATTCTGGATTGGACCTGCATTTGGCCCACTGAAGGGAAATGGCCTAGTCCAACGCTCTCTCGAAGAAGGCCTAACGATATGGTCCAACACATAACCGTTGGAGAATGTTTCCTCCACGTGCCTCCATGAGCACGTGGTCAACTGTCCTCCGATTATCGCAGGATATCTGGTTATCCATGAAGAACTGGTCATCCGCTATCCGAAGAAGACGGGATAGTTGAATCAAGATCGTGGGCACGCGCTGCTCCACTTCACACGCGTGAGCGCAGACAGCCATTCGTTATGGGCCTGGATCCTTAGTCCATAACGAAGGGTCTTGGCCCAGCGTTGAGGTTATAAATACCCTCTTTCACTAGAGGGCCAGGTACATCATTCTTCACACATTTCATTACTTGTGTTCTGCTTTGAACCTTACTTTGACATCAGAGTGTTATGCAGGTACTCCCACTTCACTTTCAACAGCCGCTTAGTCCAAGCTTGTGGGTCATCGACGATCCCTTATGATCAGGTACGATCAGTGGCGCCGTCTGTGGGAACCTGCTTCTCCGTCTTTCTTTAACTTGAGACCAAATCAAACTTTCAACTTCCTGATCATCATGGTCAATCAAGTCAACAAAGGTGACCAGAATGTTTACTTCGCTGACATTGGCAACAACAACAACAACGTGGACGTTCTCGAGCATGACGACAAGGACGAAAGGACCGCTTCTTCCTCCAACCTCCCACATCCGCTCGACAATCATCAATGACACGTCGACGAACCTACGTCGTATCAGGAAATCTCGGTGCCCACCAATGTTGATATGACGACCCAGGCCCTGTTCGCGGCGATCAATCAGACCAATTACATGATCTTTGCGCAGGGTGAACGCCTCAGAATGCTGGAGAAGGCCCTCCGACCATGCTCCCCTAGGAGGCACAGAAGACATGATTCACGCAGCCCATCTCCATGGCGACATGAAGTCTGTTCACGATCTCCTCCGCGGGGACACCAACGGGAAGACTCACACAACTTCTCTCCTCATCGCACTGAGTGAGGTCCTCGACTAGAGAGGACCCAACCTGAAGTCGTCAAGAAGCGCGATCGCACTCCACCGCGCAAAGAACGGTGATCCCCTTCTTATAAGAGGAACATGGGCAATGAAGAAATGAAGAGAACTCGGGCAAGGAATTCTCCTCTCCGTAGAGACTACCGTTTCGACCATTCCCCGTCTTGTTCCCCAAAACAAAGCGATGAAGAAGACCCTCGTGGTCCACTATTCCAAGATATTATGGAGGCCCATTCTTAAGGGGATGGAGAAACCTCCACCTTTGAACAAATATGATGGCGCTACAGACCCCGACGACCACCTCGACAGCTTCGAGGCAATGCTCCACTTCCACAACGTCGAGGGTGCCATCAAGTGCAGGCTTTTCCCCACAACTCCGAGGAAAACTGCCATGGACAGGTACAAAAGTCTCGCCCTTGAGTCCATCACCTCGTGGAAGAGCCTGAAGAGCCAGTTCTCCAGAAACTTCACATCCTATCGACGAAACCCCAAGATTGAGGCATCCCTCGAGGCAATCATCCAAGGGAGCGAAGAACCTCTCAGAGCTTACATCGATCGGTTCAACCGTGACATCGTCCAAGTTTACACTACTCACTACATGAAGAGGTACTTGCTCGAAAGAGGTCTCCTACCAGGCAACGACTTCCGGAAGGCAGTCGACATCGAGACTTCCCAATCATTGGATGAAATCCTCCATAAAGCTCGAGCCTACATCACGTACGAAGAGAAAGAGGCCGTCAACAACTCCCGTTAATCTAGGAACCGCGAAAACACCCAGTGCCCCGAGGCACAATGACGCATGACCATCTCGACGAATCAGGAATAAGAGAATAGAAGAAAGACCCCACGACTCCCGCGAGCACAAAGGTCCAGTTGGATGCTTCACCAAATACACCCTGATGACCGCTCCCCGCGAGCGTATCCTTGTAGAGTGTCCCAATGCTGAATTCAAGGATGGTGGGGTCCAGCGAACCAAACCTACAACTCTCAAGCTCGAGGTTAGGGATGTGAATGAGGGGGGGGGGGGGGGGGAGGGACAGGGTGGGGGATACATTACCATCTCAACTCCCATCCTCGAATCTATTCCCTATTCGCGTCTCGGGCTCAACCACGAGTAGATTTTGTCCCCCATCCCCGTCCCCGTAGGTCCCCACGGATCCCCAAAGTGAAGGTGTGAAAAACACAATAAAAGGGGGATTTGAATTGAGTTTTAAATCAAAACTTTTCTTTTAAAAATATTCTCTTTTAATTAAAAAACTTTTTCCTCCACTCTTGATAATAACGATAATTAAGAACGGGAAGTAAAGAACAAGATATGTTTATACTAGTTTACTTGAAAACTATCAAGCTAGTCTAGTCCACCGTGATTTCGACTCTCTCAATCGAGAACTTAATCCAATAATCCAATTGATTATTACAATGCACAAGCTACCCGCAAGTAACTAACAACCTCTAATACACATAAGTCCTAGACTTCTTAAGAATACAGACCTAACCGGTCCCTTAAGGAAAATCAAACCTCTAAGACACACTAGTCCTAGACTTCTTATGGATACAAACCTAACCAGTCCCTTAAGGAAATCAAACAACTGTTTGAATACAAGTTTTGTTTACAATAATATTGCTTCAACACAAGTTGTGTATGTAAACTATTTTAAGAACAATGAATTAAGAATATGAAATCTATGAACAACACTTATGCATGGATATTCGGTGAAAATTCACTGATTTCTCTCTTATTCTTCAAGCCTTTATATATCCAATAAAATAATATATCCGTTGAGCGGTACTCTTAGGATTTCCATAAACATTGGCAGCTTGAGCAATCACGTGGGGGATAAGATCGTGCAACATGTCTATTCTTTCATGGTAGTAGAATGAAACATTGATTGTATCATGTACTATTTGTACCATGTTAACATTATATTCTCTCTTTATGCACTTCAGAGGCTTCTGCGAGCATGAGTTTAGAAGAGAGAACATAACACAAGGTAATTAGAACTTCAAGTCTTCAGAAATGCGTCTTTAGAGTCTTTAAAACTTAGTTGTGAGAACCTTTTCTTAGAACCTTGGGTATTTAGAACTTCAAGTCTTTAGAGTCTTTAGAACTTCTATCTTCAGGGTCTTTAGAACTTGAGCTTTAGAACCCTTTTCTTAGAACCATGGGTCTTTATAAATTCAAGTCTTTAGAGTCTTTAGAACTTCTTTTATCATAATCTTCAGCACTTGGTCTTGAGAACCTTTTGTCTTCAGAAACATTAGTCTTTTACATATGGAGTTAAGTAGAAACTTCTGTATTCAGATCTTCTGACTTGTTTCTTTATAACATGTTGTCTTCAGAAACCCGAGTCTTTAGTATCTGGACATAAGTAGAAACTTATGTCTTCAGATCTTTTGACTGGTTTATTTAGACTTCACATCAGAGTCTACACTTCAGAGTCTTCTGGAGTGTCTTGCTACTGTTCCTCAAAACTTGTGTAGCGCAGAAGCGGAATTAATTCTCTTCTATTGTCTAGGCCACACCATCCATCAGAAGCAGAACATGTTTGTTAAATACTAAAAAATAAAAAACATTAGAGTATCAAGATTGTTCATACAAACATACTCATTTGTTATTGTTGTACCCCAAAATTTGCCCTCCCATATTCTTCAAGATTTGGCAAGACCAAGCTTCAAAATCTCTCAAAGGTTGCACAGTCCAATTGCCTCCTAACACAGTCAAAATTAGGGTTTTGGTTCTTGCAAGGAAATTGAGGTTTCCAAGGGTCCAATCAAGTCTCACATGCCTATAAACATTGTCAAGCATCCATATGTCAAGTTTCAAGACTCACAACATCCAATTGCACAGTCAAAAACCCTAAATGCTTCATAGTCAACTGTAGGGGCAAAATGGTCATTTGACAGTCAAAAGTCAAAATTTTTTGTCAACATCTTATTTTGAAGCCACAAACATCATTTGATCAATTCTTGATCATGATTCTCAAAGCATGGCTCAAAAAGTCTCAAGATGCAAAAGTTTCTATTTTTGGACAACTGAAAAAGTCAACTGCAAATTGACCAGGGCATAACTTCCTCATGGTTTATCAGAAAAATTCTATCCAAAGCTCATTTTGAAGAGAATGACATTTCCTACAACTCATATTCACACTTCAAGTCCAAGAAATGCTCTCACAAAAAGTTATCAATTTCAACATTATAGGTCATTTTCAAAAGTCAACAAAAAGGCACTTTAAGTCAAAGACCATAACTTGAGATTGGTAAATAAAAATGACATGGGACCAAAGACATTGGTTAGAGGACTTCAAGACCTTTCCAAAATATCCAAGAACATGTTAATAGCTTCACAATTGAGCAAGATATGCCTTGTAGA